TCTCCTCCTTGGTCAGCCCCTACTGGGATTGTTTTTCTGCCTTATTTTTGGCCCTGTCCTGCTCTGTTGGCTAACCCGATTCATTCAAAAACGCGTCAAGGTGGTCAAACTCCTAACGCTCCACGCCAGGGCACAATTAGGGTTCGATGGCTACCGCTCTCTCCCTGCCTCAGAATCAACGATTCGATTCCCTTAAAGACCAGTAGGGAATGTTAGGCACGACTCTCCAGGCTATAGATTAGCATGACAGGACTAGCGTATCAGAATGTCTATCAGCTGTCTCAGGGCATTCATGATAGGCATGACTCTCCAGGCTATAGATTAGCATGACAGCACTAGCATATCAGGATGTCTATCAGCTGTCTCAGGGCATTCCCTCAGAAAATGGAAAAAAGCTTGCCAAAGGCGTAATGGGCAAAGCTTTTCTAAAAGGTGTAAATTAAAAAGATAGACTTACTGCTAACCAATCTGCTTCTGTATCTCACTTGCTTAACTGCTGCCTACGTGACTTTGTAACTTCCCATTGTTCCCATATTTGTCTGCAAGCTGATTGTAAAAGTATAAAAATCCTGTTGCCATTCTGCCAGGCACCGCATTCTTACTAGAATGTTGGTCCCTGCAGGTAATAAACTCCTCTTAAAAATACCAACTGGTCTCTGGTCTCATCTGCAAAACCGCGGGATACAACACTGAGCATATGATGGCAGAGAGAACCTTTGTTGTACCTCACTCTGTGCATTAGATGCACATAAAGCATCTAATGGAGGGTTGCATGCAGCTGGAACAGAAAGCACTGGGTTGTACTCTTAGTCAACCCAAGGAAGACCACCTGAACATAATAATATTTCAGTCTAATCAAAGTACAGCTAAGTCTGACTTACTCTTTCTAAACAATGCCAGCCTTAATCATTTGGATTCCAGGGTTTAATGCTTGGGTGGGGGAAGGGTGCTTTTATTTCTGTATATGTTGTCTCTGCTTTATCCTGGTGCAATATCTCCTAGTCGTACTATTGCCTTTCAATCCCTGTTCTCTGCTGCTCATCATCCCTGTGCACATTTGGAAAATAAATCTTAATATCTTCAGCTAACCCATCAGAGTTTTGAAATGAGCAAGCACAAGGTAAGCTACTGATATTTTGAAAATTATCAATGATTCATCACGCCTACTTGCATTTACTTTGTCTAGACTTACCCAATCCAGTATAATCAGTTGAATTACAAATTGTCTTTGGCTGCAAACTTAATACAAGCTGAAACAGCAAACTATCAAGACTGACTGCACTAAGAATATAGGCTGACATAAATTTGGCAAGACAGCTAATGTCTCTCTTCTTAAAAAGGTGAACCCCACCCTTTGAAAGCACTGCTACCCCTCTCATCTGGGCAGATAAAGAGACCTCCCAGGCAATCTACACAGCTAACACAAATTAACAAGCAATCAGTCTGGGGGAGGTCTGTTTTGTTTTTTGCAGCACTGGCCAAATGGAAACCACTCTCTGGAAGCTAAACCCAGTGCCAGGCAGAGTTAAAAAGATGGTGAGGGTGAAGTAATTTGAAGCCATGAGGCAGGGAGAATCAGAAACACAAAAACAGTACATTGTAATACAAAACTGGTTGAGATCCCACTCTTCACACATTCATGCTAAAGTAGTACCAACATAAAATTCACAGCCATCCTTCTTTGTTTTCCTTGATTTATGTAAGTGAAGATTATTCTTCTATCACAAAGACGTCAAATGCACAGACTGGAACCAGGTTTGACTTTTGAGATAAACTGCACCATTGTGTGTTTCTGCTTTAATACATTTCTCTTTTTCAGCTTGTTGATTCATGTAACCTGAAAGATAAAATAAAAATTAGTAATTTCATGCACTGCCATGAGGCCTTTTTCCTAAGTTTTGATTTTCAAAAGTCAAAAGGGGAGTTAATTGGACATAGTTGGTACATTTTGAAAATACACTTCTGTACCTACTTAGTAGCAAACTAAGGTATTCTATCAGACATAAGTGATTGCAGTTACAGAACCAGGGTACTCACTCAGCATCAACAGTGTATAGAATATTGTCTCAGATCAGCAAAATATTTCCTCTAAACTGAACTTGCTGCTTATGAAATATACAATAAGACACACATCTTAATCCCATTGCTGATTCATAATAAGGTACTGCCCCATGTCTTAATCATACTGCTGCAAGATGGGGAATACATGTCTTTTTTGTGAAACCTACTACAGTGTTGCCAAACCATGGAATTTTTACTCAAAGCCTCAACCCTGATGCTAAAAAGCTTGGTCATAATCCAGCAAGTCTCATTACATATACACAGAGACACAGGCTGCATTTAAAAGCCACTTGGAATAGTATGCAAGCTTATGGATGCTTGGCAAATGAAAATACAGCTCCAGTGCAAATACAGACCTCCCTTCACACTTCTGTGATGCTAAGCCAATGAATGCAAATCAATGCACATCTGGAGCACTGTGTACATCCAATTCTCTTCTGCAAGAGATATCTGTAATGAAAACTGACTGCATATATGCAGATATTTTTCCTCTTATAAGATGGAATGGGGAGAGTTCAATAGAGATGGTTGCGTGACCAAACCACCCACTATATTTACAGAAACTTAAGTATGGGTCTTCCATGTCATGTTCCATCTGGTAAGCTTCAAATCTCACCAGAAATGGGTCAATGTCTTATACTTTAACCCATGATTGTTGATTAAATTGTGTTAATGAGAATGCTTATATTTTACAAATTAAATATTTATCTTTCTGACATGCCTTTAAGATGAAATGTAGATTAAAAACAGAACAAAACTCGGGTAACTCCTCTCTCCACATATTTCTACCTGCCCACTTAGATCCTCTTTGGAACTCCTCCTCCAAATATCCCCCCTCCCCATGAGAGTACAAGGGAAGGGGCTAGGAGGGGGACATTTTTAGCAGTAGCTCCTGCACTACGGAACTCACTCCCAGAGACATAAACTTGGCGCCAGCTCTTCTTTCTTTTAGATGCCAGATGAAAATGTTTTTGTTCAAACAAGCTTTTGGTTAATTTATTTAATTTATAATTTTATATTTTCTTACGGATTATTTAATTTTTGGTTTGTTAATTTCCTGGTTGTATTTGTCATGTTGCATGTGGGTTACATTTTATCATGAGATGATTTATCTATTATTTTATTTGCTTTAATAATTGTTTTATCAACTGTATTGTATGCTGTTTCCAGCATTTGTAAACTGCCTAGAGAATCTTCAAGTTATGGGGTGGCATATAAGTGGAATGAAATAAATAATAAAACCTACATTGGTTACATTAGGGTCCTTGTGAAGAAGGGTGCTATATAACTCAAATAGCAACTGACATCCATAGAATTTTCAAAATAATACCTTTATTATAGCCTTTAGCATGATGCACAGCTTATTTATTTATTTATTTAGGGGACTTCTATGCTGCCCCATTCGCCAAAGCCTCGAGGCGGCTCACAACCATAAATAAATAGAATCCAATAAAACAATATAAATTAACAATATAAATTAAGTCGCCCTGGCCGAGGAATAAAATGAATAAATAATATTAACAATTAAAATAACATTTGAATATGCTGATGATAGTTACCAGCTTTTGGAAAGATACACAACAACAAGAATTTTGATTAGTTCCGAACTCAGATTTTCTGGTAACACCAAACATGAGTGGAAGCTTACATCTCTGAGCTTGCATTCTCAAAATGTGTATTTTAGGAAGTAATTTTAAAATGCACATTTCATGGATTAGTCTATGGCAGAAAGTGCATGTCTGGCGGTGCACTTCCAAAAGAGGTGTATTGCAACGTGTGCTTTTCTCATTCAAATGAAAAGCAAAACAAATCATAATCGAAAATGAGAACACGGTGATCTGCTTTTCAGGGTGCAATTCAGAAAATCTCAGCGAGCTTGAACATGATCCTCCAAACTTTAGTCCTCCTTGGCTTCAAAAGCTACATGCAGATCAGTATTCCACAGTCTGGTGCTTTCTAAATGTGCTGGACTGCAATTCTCAGTCATGTGGCTGAGGATTATGAGTTGTACTCCAACACATCCAGAGGGCACCATAAGGCTTAGGGGAAGGCTTAGACAGTTCAATGGAATTCCATTGATGGATGAAATCCACCATCCATAATGCACACATCTGGGCTCATATCACCCGCTGGACAGAAACCTGCTTCTATACATGGGCCTACCTTGCAAGAGTCCTTTTAAAAACTGTAGCTATCTTCCTTTTCAATGCAAATATATTTCAGGTACAAGAGGATACACATAACAACATGCTTTTGCATATTAGGGATCCAATGAGCTCTTACTCAAACTTAAAGTCTTTTCTTTGATTGTTACAATTATTTCATATCCTGCTAGTATATCTGGCATTATTTGTTTGGTAGATTTATACTGTGCTTTTGACTGCAGTCCTTGAAGTGGCTTGCACCAATTGCAAAAAGCAATGGAGATATTATAAGGAAGGCTCACACTGAAGCAAAGCCAAAACCAGCTTCCCTCTTTTTCCAGATTCAGTGTCACAGGGCGGATACCGTTAGATGGCCTTGGGGTTGGAGAGCAGACAATCCAGATGAAGACTATCTCTTTGGCTATTTTCTTTTCTCCTCTTAATGTCAACTCTCCCTCAAAGACCCATTTTGTGCCTCAAATAACTTCTTTGCTATCAAGCATACATTTCCCCATTTCTACTTGACATCCTAATCCTTCAGGGATTTTGCATATCTGTGCAAAAATATTGTTTTTTGTACAGCTCCTTTTTTCTGGACATTAACAGTTTGTTCATGTTTATGGCCTCACACGTTGAGCATTTTCCACCCAGCACTTATTTTTTTAAAGCCACTCTAGCAGTGAAGATTTAGGTGAAGACAACAATACACAAGCATCTGTTTTCAGAAATTAAAACCAAAGGTCACTCTATACAAACTAGAATCCAGGGGCTTTTCTGTTTCAATCTTATTTTGAAAGTCATCCTCCAAAATCTTTTAAACATCTGGAATTTGAGCACAAGAGCTAATCAAAGCAGAACTGCATTCAAGAGGTTACCACAGCTGGACTCCAGCAAGGGCTTGTAAAATGAATACAGCTGAGTTGGAAAGATGTTATCTGTACAAACTTGTTCAGCATGTGTGCTTGAAATTATTTATGGCAAAAGCACTTAATTGAGGCATCTTTTCTTCCCCCAAGAATTTGCTGTTGAAATGACTCATACCCTATGAGTATAGGGTATGTCAGAATCTAATGTAGTAATTAGATTAGAATCAAATAATTAGATCATGACCTGAGATTGAAAGTGATAAAATTAGCATCCCACTCACAGGAAAAATTATGAAAACCATGTATTTAATCTACAGGATATAAAACTAGGGACAACAAAACAGTAATTACAGTATTCAAAATAATGTTTTTGTTTGTTTTTTGTTTTGCTTTGGATTTAAGATTTACCCTGCCATAATATGAAACAAGGTGCAGCTTCTCATACTCCGAACACTTAACCAAATCCATGCCTTATTTTTACACATGAAAGACTGTCCTGTTTAGAATTCAGTATAATGTAATGTACTTGGGGACCAGCTCTCTCCATCAAAGAATTTTGTAAGTGAAAAAGTACTATCTAGAAAACCCATCTGAGTAATCATACTTCACCTCCACTTGAGTTGTTAGATGCTACATTGACATGAGTTCTGTGTTTAAAGCAAAAGAACTGATGTTATTCCAACAATTATATCAAGTGGAAGGGAAAAGACAATAGGTGCTTATGAAGACTGGCGACTTTGTAAAGTGCTTACTATTATTGTCTTTGTTTTGCTTACAGTAAAAACAACACACATGTTGTGTTATGTTCAAAGATTCGAGTTCAGTTTATTTGCACTTGATTGAGAAGGGCTACTAATATCCTGGATTCTGTTGCAGAGTGCTGACTCAAGTGGGAGACTTATGTCAGTCCTTCTGCAAGTCAGTATAAGTCTTGAGATGGTAGACCTTGCCCTGAGTGTATAGCTGTATACATATGTCTAGTACACAGGAGGCATTTATGTCCCAATACCATGAGGGTTGCAGTGCTATGTAATACGGTGTGTAAATAAGTAACAGTGACACGTGTGTAACAACTGCTGCCATTTGATGGTGTCAGAATCTAGGTGGGGCTAGAATCTAAGAGGTTCCGGTCCACAATTGTTCTCCATCTGGCCCATCAAGGTTGCCCAACTCAAGTCTGACCTCAAACCACCATCTCCTGGCCTAGAAGGCTAAGGAAATGGGGAACAGTCAGAGGGAGGGATCTGTGATTGGAGATAGCAAGGGGATTTTTCTTAGCATGCTCCATCATCACCAGTGAGGGAAGGCATGGGGCTGGTGCAACCAGGAACCCAACCAGCACTGGCAGGTGCGTCTCCTCCTCCTAGGGCCAGATGAGCTGAGAGAGGCATTGAAGTCTGTGCCTTTCCCAGCATGGAGAAAGGCAAAATGAGAAGAACAAGGACATCAGTGACTGTGGTCACAATCACTTATGTCATCTGGTTGTGAAACACACAGTGGGAAACAATTTAGTACTCCCAACTCAAATTGGTTCCTAGCCCTGAAACCCTGAACTAGGTAATTCCAAGAAACAAAAGTGTGTAACCATCTTTAACCAACCTGATTGATGTACCACTTTCCGTAACATCAGACTTCATGGTAGGTCTGATATGAACATGGCCAAGAGACAAGTGACTCACATGGTTGATGTGTGACAGCTTTGCTCACTTCCTAAGTCATTCATACAGAAGTGTGTGAAGTACGTCAAAACAGAGAACTGTGGTTGACTTTGTCTTAGTCTGTGGTTGCTCTTGCTTCACCTGTCACTGAAGAGTAAAGTCCTATCCCTCTTGTTACTACATTCTTGGTTTGCAGAGGAGATGTTTAATTTGTGCTCACAGTTTTAAAAGTGCATCCATACTCCATATAGTTATGACCATATTTATTTTACTTGGGTATTTTTCACCCCGCTCAATACGTAGTGTGTCCCTGGAAAGCTTACAATTCAAATCCAATAAATACATATATACCCAGATAATACAAATGATCTATATGGCACCTAGTGTTGCTTCAAGGGGGTCAGTAAAATATTTGACCTTTTCTTTGAAGTTATCCTATTTCCTTTAAGAACAAGGGGATTTTAAAGTCTGTTGACAAGTCTCAAGCCATCCACTGAGCATAAATTCATAAATTAGTTTTATTTAATGCATGAAAATATATTCTTCATCTTACAATATCAGGGCATTATAGAAAATATAATTAAAACCTTAATATACTAAGCAATAAAAAGTGATAAAGCTAATGTGATAAAAAGCAGAAGATACATCCTTGAAAGTGCCTTCATTATTTTTTCCTCTGGAGTATATATGAACAGATGGAGGAATCCACTTATTAATTTGCAATTGCTACAGTACTAAGATAAGGCAGCATAAAAATGCTATAAATTGCTTCCTTGCACTTTCTATCTGTCCAAATGTAGCTGGCAAGCATGTAATTTACATAGCTGGCCTCCATGTTGATATATTGAATCTACAATGCACTGTATCTTCTGGAAGAAAAGGCCTGGTTAGCTTCTTGCACTTGTATCTGGGAAACCTCTATGCTAAATCATCAAAGGGAATCTCTGCTAGAACTGCTAGGGGTGGTTTATTTTTACATTTGCTAGCTAACTTTTCTAAAACAAAATTCTCTAAACATGTTTCTCTTTGTTGATACGAAGGTGACAGAATTCTTAGCAGGGCCGTTCTTCTTAAAACGAGGGGAGGCCGAGTTGCTCCCTTATTCCTAATAGGAACATTCTTTTACACTAACATTAAAGGGTCAAGATATTTTAAGCCTCACTCAACATGCTCCTTAACGGGATACATTAGAAACACCCACAATGACCCATTTTGTACGTAATGGCAGCAAGTCATGGGCTGATTAAGCAAGTCATGATGGCAGCAAGTCATGGCCTGAATAGCCCACAGTTAATTAACCCATGATTTGTCACATCATGTTCCTGCACAAGCTACTATATTTTGCACAAATTCAGATCAGCCCAATTCAAGGCTGTCCTGAGACTTGCAAACCCAGACAACCCAAACCTGCAATTAATGAAGAACTGAATTCATGACCCTTCCAATGAAATTTTGCAGGATTATTTTTAGTAAATCTGGACACAAAATTGCTTGGTTGGGGAACATAAAATAACTGATAGAAATAGAAGTTCTGTAACAGCTGTTTAAGACCTTCCCTGACTATATCATGTTTGTTTTTTAAATTCTATTACATTTTCGTGGACAACAGTTTGATCAATGAAGCACAAGTAATATTGAATTGCATTCAATATTGCCCTCCAAATTTACAATTGTCTCCTTACATGGGCAAACCATGGTGAGCCTTGGGCCTCAGCATCCCCCTTCCATCTTTTCACATGTCAAAGTAGATTGAAAGCTTCTGGTTGTTAATTTTAGCTAACCAGACTTCCCTTTTACTTCTGAACACAGGAACGCTGAACACTTTAACCAGGGATAAATAATAATGTTTCTCAATCCAAGAATCAAATTGGTTCTGGGCAAGCCTGCAGCGGGTGGTGCCACACCCCCCGGGGGGTACCCCTCTGCTGGCATGTAGCCCCAACATGATTATCAAGAACCCATTCTCTCCCTCACACACGCACTCCTACCACCCCTCCCCTACTGCTATCAAGTTTCTAAAAACCACCACTGATGACAGTGGAGGTTTTTTAAGCCTGCTTGCAGTGGTTTTTCAGCAGGGGTGGATTTTCAGTAGGGCTCACAGGGTATTTTTAAAAATACTCATTTTCAGCTGGTTCTGGTTCACAGATAACCATTCTGTGAACCAGAATCAAGCATGGCTTACAATCCTGGCTTGTTCACTAAACATAGTTCCTTGACTTTGGTTATAAGAGAACTGATTAGTTTAAAATTACCAAATCATAGTCCAGCATGCACTGAAGATAAGAAGGGAGTGTGGGGATGAGAGTGTGAGCTCAGGGTTTGCTGTAGCTCATAATTTGATATTACCTTGAAACTGGGTCCATGTCATACTAAAGCATTTTCCTGCAACTAATCATGGGTCAACTTCAAGTCAACTAAATATTCATAGATATTAAATAAATAAATTTGAAAGGATATATAGCAGAAGACCAGAAGGAAAGAAGAAAGTTAGTGAGAAATGGGCTTCCCTAGAATGGATTTTTGGTCAGTTTTGCTTTCAGTATCTCATACAGCCTTCCATGTTGGGTTGTGATTTAATAGGCTTGTGTGGGACACACTTGTTTAAATCAGAATCATAAGCAAGTGCATTGGTAAACATAATCCTCAAATGAAAAGTTTTCGAGACTAAAAAGTGATCAGGTATACTTTGCCCATGTGAGTATAATCCATGTCAGATCCTTGATATGCAAAGAATATTATGTACTTTGTGGTATATGGATGGAAGAATACAAGGTATAAGTAAGGATTCTTGATTCAATGGTCAGAAATCCCTCTATGCAATGGTCATCTGGGAAACAAGTTACTGGGCTTCTTTGAATGGAAATAATCTATACCAGCACTTTGCAGGAATGTAAAGTATCAAGACATATTTAGAGCCAGACAAAAACGCTGCATTGAAATGACTTTTAAAATAATTGTTTTACGTTATTAATTTATAGTATCATTTTATTATGCTACAAAATCAAGATTTATAAAAATAAACCTTCAGTGTTTTTATGTTTTTTCTCTATAGTGAGCAAAGAAAATCTTGGATTCATGCTAGTATGTCTACTGTTTCTGGAGCACTACATTCCCAAAGGATATTCAAACACAGAGCAGATCACATTAGGAAAGTCTAAAATAGACTTAATAATCAATTTCTTCTTCCTACCAAAAAATGTCCATTCCCAAGAGATGTACAATTTTAGCCATTTCCCAGAAAGTGCAATATCTCTGAAATAATCTCTTGGTTCAGAAGCTCAAAATAGCTAAAATTGGTTGTGCTGTGTGGCACGGGAATTTTCCATTTAGCAAAGAAATAAGTTCTTTTTTTCAAAACTCCTAATGTTTTGTGCAGCTCAAGCATGACTGCACACAAGCAGTGCTTAGAATTTTTATGAGGAACACCATTCTTCATTGCATTGAACAGGCACAGATACGACGTTGCTCTAGTATCCATGATTAATAGCGTAGCCACATGCCCTATTTTACAGAAAACAGTCCTCTATCTAAAGGCATCCTCTATTTGAGGGGCTGGCACATCCAGCTCCTCATCCTACAGAGCTTTAAGAAGGGAGAGCAGCCAGGTGTGGGTTGTGAGAAAACAACCTTGAAACTGCCCATCAACTGGGGAAAGTTGGTGGGCAGCATCTGGGGAAAGGACTGAGAAGGCCCACAGTATTCTCCACTGTGTTGAAATGTGTTGTATTTCTTTTTAAATTATAGCACTTTCTTCTATGTTTACATCTACACATATGGAGATTTTATCCAACTCAGCATCCTTTCTGGGCTCCCTTTTCAGTGATACAGAAGTAGCCCTTCTAGTGATACCTGGAAGCAGACTGCATAATGCCTGCCTCCTTCCTCATCTGCATCTAAGCATGACCCAGGAACTGATGTCAATTGAAGACTAACAAAGGAGAAGAATCTGGAATATAATCAGATGTATTCCAAGAAAGGGGTTGAACAAATGCTGATAAACACATTGATCATACAGGAATTTGATTCATTAATGAAATCAAGTTTTATTAGGATGATAGTACTAGTCTCACCAGTAACAGTTAAGTGATCCTCTCTGGAAGCACTCTGGATATCTTGCAACTGGATTTCTGGGCTGACCTCAACCTTGTTTCCAGATAACTGCAGATAAGTTTTAAGAGTGGCAGGTACCTTGACAGTAATGGACCCTGTTATGCATAACAATGAAAAAGTTCAAGAAATTAGACATGGCAAGCCTGACCAGTGGCCCCAGAGGAGCAATCAGTGAGGGAAGATGAAGCAGCTGCTTTTGCCCCAAAACAAAATGCTGACTGCATTTCTTGCACCAAGGAGAAAGATTTTTGAACTGCATATGATTTCATCCACATAATGAGTGCTCCATTATTCTATTCAGTGATCATTCCACTATTCTAGGAAGTTTCTAGAGTAATGATCCTTGTGCTAACATCTTACTTTTTCTTGTGAGGAAGGGTCATTAGTTCCTTTTTTATCAGGTAGCCTCAAATTGAACTCTACAATTTCGGAGGAAATCTAAAATGGCAAAATACCAAATGACTTGCACAGAACTGTTGTAAAAAAAAAAAGGAGGGGAGAACCCCTTGCATCCTCTGTTGGAATGTCACTGTCTAAATCAAGACTGGGCAACCCCTGCTGTCCTCCAGTGCAGTTCCTTCCACCATGTGGAACTTGGGAGAGAACCTAACATTGTTTCATTTCCCCCCCTTTTTTGCAAACAAAGCGATCCACAGAGTTGCTGCTACAGAGTGGCTAAAGGGTTAAAATTGGGTTGTCTGCCAGCAATTTTATTTTATCATTTTATTTGTATCCCTCTTTTTTCCTCTCTTGCAAAAAACACAGGTTACATTGTCCCCCTCTCCATTTCATCTTCACAACAAAAACCCTTTGAGATAGCTGAGGAGGAGAGTGAGCGACAACACCAGGGAGATCCATAGCCACATGGATGACTGAGGAATGCTTAGAGTTGTATGATTTTTTCCCCTGTTTAAGCATGTCTAGGATTGTGTCCTAAATTAATTAAATGGTTGGGTTCTTTCTCTCTGAATAGGGGTCCTGTGGATTAAATAGCCAAGAAAAATATAGGCTTCGAAGATTACTAGGCTTCTACATATGGGAGGGCTCCTCTTCATGGATGGGACTGAAATCCGATGGAGCATCCCACTGGCAGGGTGGAGAGCTAGTTTTGCTCATTTCCTCTTCCCCTGCATACCCTCCACAATTATTCCAGGTGGTTCCTAAATGTTCCAGGACACAGGGGAAAGATCAGATCAGGAGTCACTTATCCGCTTCTTCTGTCAGAAGTGTCCATCTGTGCAACTGTGCTCAGGAAACATTCCCATCAGTGTGAGCAAACGCAGGATCCCAGCCAGTAAAAACAGAAGCAATGCATATAAATCTTCTTAACCAGTTTCTTAATAACTTTTTCGTTTCCAACTGCACAAATACTTTTCACATTTCAAGCATGCTTGTTCTGCATTCATGCACAAAAACAGAGTGCATACTATCTTGAAAGAATGTCCCTGACTCTTGGCTTCACTCCAGTAACGCCAGTTTGGGTCTGGACAAGCTGCAGTTGCCAATCCAAGGTAATCCAGCCAAGTAAAAGTCTTGGTCAATGGACCCTCTAAGTTTTCTTCCCTCTTGTGTGGAATCACAGTTGTGTAACGAATTCAGCAAACAACACAGTATCTATCACATATTTATCAGGAAGGAAAACAGGTCCACAGAAATATTGTTCTTGCAGCCTATGCCAAGACATTTCTACACAGTGTACAAATTAATGGTTTACTGGGCCCCAGCAGATATAATATATCACTATGTTTGCATGCAAAGTGCACTTGCAGTGACCCTGAATACAGATTTTGGAAAAAACAAGAGAAAATAATCCAGTAAAAATTAATTGAATATAACAGTAACTAGTGCAAAGCTTTATTATCAGTTTCCACATTTTAATCTAAGGCCACACTCTTAAACACAGTTACTGGAGAGTACGGAGCAAACTATGTGCAATGCTAACTGTGTGCAAAGAATGAATGTGCAGATTAGATAGCCTTGGGGTGGGAGAGGCAAGCAGGATTGGGAGCTTGCTGCAGCTGGAGAAGGGTTAACCTTTTCCTCTACCAATGGCGCTGATGAACATTTTCTCCACACCCTAAAACTGCTGTAAGTTGAAGCCAACCAGTTTTTATCCCAGGCTAATAGTACCTTCATGGAGAGGGGGATTTTTAGTGAAACCATGGCCTGGGGAAAGACTTACCCTGTACTCAACATACTATGTTCCTTATATGGATACTGCAATCCTGCCTATTGACAGTTTTTTAAAAAACTAAGCACTGTAACTGCTTAAATTCAGTTACACATATGTGTGTGATATGTGTTATATCACACATATTTTGGCTCTAAGTACCACTGAACCCAGAAGAACTTACTTGTGAATAAACATGATGAAACTCTAAAAATTCCCTGGTGTTCTTTCCTTTGAATCACATTAAACTTGTCCATTTATTTTATCTGGATTGCTTGGATGGATTAGGGTGTGCCCATGTTCCTATTTTAGCTGAAATTTTACAAGCAGTTTTATATTTTAATTGTTTTTATTATACTGATTGTAAGCTGCATTGAAAGAGGTTGTTCTTAGAGGCTTAGTTCAGAAATCCTTAAATAAATACATGTTAAAACATACTTACTAACCTTTCTGTGTTTTCAAATTAGTTTCCCCCTCTTGACTAATAATATAAACATCTATTGCCCCTTGACATGAAGAAGCTTTCAGGAATCCCTCTGAGGAATCTGAAAAATAAAAGAACATAGATCTGTGCAAATCTAATGAATTAACTGGAATATTTGGTGGAGCTCGTTAACATAGTCTTTTAGAATGATTTGCTTGGGGGTGTATAGAAAGCAGTGTCATGGAGATTTTGTTCCAAAAGAGCAGAGAGAGGGACACAGTGTTCTCTCTATATTTAAACATTACTAGTTAACTTGAATCTCACTGAACACACATAGAGAGAAGACATCTGCATTTGTTCAGACAAGGTAATGTAACTCAGTTCTTGTCAGGATATTCCTTGATAATCACGGATATATTTGTTTTCAGAAGAGCAGCCAAAGGCAAAAGAATGTATGAACTATTTTAAAAGGAGCATGTTTTGAAAAGGACATAGTGATAACAGACATAATATTGCTCTCTAATTGTCCCTGCATACTATTCTGACTTCAAATAAGTAAGCTCCCCCATGTACACACCTAAAACAAAATGTTTGCCTTCTTAGAATATGCAAACAGTTAATGTGCACAAACTGCTGGGAACAAAAGAAGTTTGTTGTTTTCCTTAAACAGCTGAAACCCACACATTATGAAATCTGAAGAGTATCTCAAAATACATGAGAAGTTAAACCCAGATGAACAACAGGAAATGCACTGGCAGTTGAATTGCCAGTAATTTTCCAGTATGTGTTTATCCAAAGAATTTATTAGGAAAGAACAGGAAAAGTTGTATGACAATTTATTAAATATGTGTCCATTTAAGTGTGTTTCTTTTTAATCTTCCTAGTCCTATATATGCAAATAAAGACAGAAACATGTCAACAGAGAGACACACCCAAACAAACCAGAACTGGTTAGAAATTCTTTAAAACACAAATAAGAAAACTGTTTGGAAACTCCCAAACTGGGCAAGAAGTAGGACTTTTAGGGCTTGTGCTTCTACGTTTTGCTGGATTCAGGTAGAGAGTTTTCAGGTTTGTGAAGCAGCAATAACAATCCTACAGAATTAGTTTATAGGTTTGTTTTTCTGTCCACAGATGTGCCAGATCCCCCCACCCCTTCTGACACTGACACACACACAGGGTAGGAAGAAGCCATTACAGGACATTTTTGATAGAACACAGAAATCAACTGGAAAGGAAAATATTAGAAAGAAAAGGAATAGCTGCCAGCAAATGTCATCTGGGAAGGTGACGGTATCATTTGGCTTTCAAGAAATGTTAACTATCCATGCTAAAGTCAGCTCCAATCCTCCCTTATACTCCAAAAGGGGTTTTGTGATGTCTGTCTATGAGAAAAAAGAGGGGAGACTGGCACACAGCCATTGTGGTTGAAGAAAAGTTGTTCTTTGTCAGTATCAGTATCTGCAGAATACACCGAATAGTGTGACAGGGTCTGTGTCTGTGCTGAAGACCTAGAGCAGGGGTCGGCAACCTTTAACACTCAAAGAGTCATTTGACCCCTTTCCCACACAAAAGAAAACACCAGGAGCCGCAAACCCTTTCGACATCTAAAATGAAGATAACATTTGTTGGGAAAATTTGGGTAAATCCTGTCTGAAAAGCATTAAACCTGTGTGCCTTTGCATTGTGGGATCAAATCCTGTCTTCCTTCTCAAAACCAAGCTGTCACTGTTTAAAATGGCATTCCCCCACTCCTTTCTCTCACCTTTAGCTGTAGGCTACAGTAGGCCATTTTAGCCCAAATATCCATTATAAATAGTCGTTGTTGGAATTCAGTTTACAATAATCTTTTGATAGCCCAGAGGGCTTCACGTGCCCTGATCATGCAGAATGTTTAGAGTTGAGATAAGGGTCTGAGCTTATCACGAATAGTTTCTAGTGGCTTGAATTTGCATGTCTGAGCAGACCTGGAGATGGGTTCAAGTTACTCAACTTAAGTGTCAATACTAATCTCATTGTTACAGTGTGATTGACTGACATTTCTTTATCTGTTCTGTATGTGATGACCTCAGAATCTTATTGTAACCTCTGCATTCTGTCATCAATTGCCCTGTACCTGTGTGCCTATAAATGCCCTGTAATGGTATTGAAGCTTTGCAGCGAGTTCATCTCTGCTAGCCCGGTAACTGCATTATTGTGAGTCAACTGTGGGAACCTGGGATAGACAATAAAGACGCGGAGGTTCATAACAATTGATCTTTCCTAAGACCTCGAGTTTTATTTCCTCTTCTCAAATTGAGATTCCGGGATTCTGACACATTGCATATATATATGTGCCAGGGCGACTTCTTTTCCTTTCCTTTCCTTTTCTTCTTTTCTTTTCTAACTTTTCTAACTCCTTTTATATCGTTTATATTTTTTATTTATTTTATATTATTAATTTTAATTTTATATTGTTATTTTTGTATTGTATTTTATTGTGTTGTAAGCTGCCCCGAGGCTTCTGCAAGGGGCGGCATAGAAATGTTCTAATAATAATAATAATAATAATAATAATGATATATCATTTTTACCTTAATGCTATGTATATCTTCATTATAATTTAGCTGCAGCTCTTGTTCAGTCACTAAAAACTGTTATTTTTAATCTTACATTATAAACTAGTAGGACTCCTTTCATATGTTTTGAATAGGAGAACAGCTTCCTGAAGAGTCAAAGTCAGTGCTAAGGGGCTGCATGCATTAAACAGCAAACCCCATAAGTTCGTCAGCAGTAAAAGCAAATGAATCTACCCAAGTAACATTAAATGTTTGGTTTTCTTCAGAAACTTTTCTTTTCTTCGATTTATCCAAGCGCTGTGCCAGCACGGGCTGCGGATCGGCCAGCGGCGGCCGCAGATTGGCGGCAGCTGTGACGCAAGTGACGGAGCTGTAGCAGAGGCATTCAAGAGCCACATGCGGCTCCGGAGCCGCGGGTTGCCGACCCCTGACCTAGAACAAAGCAGGCAGATTATTCTTATTCAATGCATTTTTCTCCTACCCAATAGCCTGAAGGCTCTCTGGGCAGTCAGGGAAGCGAAAAAAGGGCAGGCTGAGCACACTTTGCTGTCTTTGGTGAAGAGCCAGACATTTCTCCTGCATGGAGGCCAACTGGCCTCGCAGTTGAGCCTTGCTTTGACACTAGTGATGGGGCGATGCACTGGAGGGGCAGCAGGCTGGCTTGGGAGGACAGAGTGGTCTCCCCGACACAATCGGATCTGGCCTCGGGCATCTCCCCAAGGCTCACCCACTTGCCTCCCAAGCGTCCGCTGCCCAAGCCAGCCTAATGGAAGGAATAGCCTCAGGATGTAATGCTCAGTAAACACCCATGTGCTCCCAGTCCTCAAGTCAATAGGGGTTTCTGTGTGAAACTGCAAATTCTTAGGGAAACCTTCTACTGAAAGCCTTCCATAAGGCCGCCAGGACAGGATTTTGATTTTTTTTTAAATTAACAAATCAGCATTTATGAGCTTTTCATTGGTGCTGCAAGAGAACTTGGGAGGAAAGAGTGGTGGGAAATATGCATCTTTATTTCTTTTTCTTTTCAAGGCTGGTTGCAGAGATTGTTGGCTGGTTCACAGTCCCAATGTGTATACCAGCCTTCTTCAACCTGGGTGGCCCACAGATGTTTTGGGTCAAGCTCCCAGCATTCCTGGCCATTGGCCATGCTAGTTGGGGCTGATGGGACTTGAAGGCCAGCAAGGATTAAAGAATGCTTTCAACCTAGTCCAGCTAAGGACCTTTCCTGTTTAGCTTTACAGGCACTCCAACTGGGTCTGAGATACTCCAGTGAGGAAAAAAAGTCAGGTACAAGCAAGCAAACATCATCACAGACCCAAAAGTGAATTAAAATGCACATGAACACTCTAATTGTAAATAAAATAAAGTGAAATAAAATAAAGACAAGTAGTGGTTATATGAGAATAAAGTGGAAACTTCTTTATAATTACATTATTCACACTGAAGGACAATGCAACATAACTTTAGGATTACTTAAAAGAAATATGGTTGACCAAGTTGGCATTACAAATGTAGTAAGCCAGATAGCATACTGGGCTTCCAGCAATGTTGTTTGGATAATATGACCCCATCGTCATCCTCTTGAAGTGTGCTTGCCTTTTAAAGCTAAACTAAAACATACTAACATTTCTAAATTTCCCTAGACTTTCCCCAGCAGAATTCATGACAGCAAACAGGTAAACTAAAGCAGACAAGGCAAGTGTAGGGACTTAAGAATTAAACCTGACTCCTTTGTAGTTTAATGTAGATGCTACAGGGACCTCCCCCCGCCCCCCAAGTGATAATTAAAGGCACAGTGCTAAGGAAGTTTAGGCAACATGGCTGGCTGTGGTATGCTCGAAGTTGTTGGAATTTTTCTGTCTGAATTTCCATAGGCTTGAAATAAATAAAACGTTTCTGTGTCGTAAGGGGTTAATTCTGGTAGTCTGATATTAAATCAAAATTTTGCACCCAGTTCCAGAATTTAAAATATAACATCACTCAAGAGGTTAACTGAATTTGAGATTAAAAGAGTTAATCAAATTTGGTTCTAAGATGCCTTCAAGTTTGGAAATGATTCCAAGTTCTAGCTTCAGAAATAAGACAGAATCTCAAGTTTTCAAAATATTCTAAGAATATTCTATTCTATTCTAGAAAGTAAAAGATTGATCTTTTGCAAGTCCAAGTATAAAGGCAAGGATCTAAGAATCTAAAAAGGTTCATAGCCAACCACATCCTTGGGTCCAGTAAAAAAAAAAACAACTGAAGTAAAATGATCAGAGTACAAAGTGAAGAAGTGAAATCGAGTTCTTCCGAAATGTGTTATTATATGCTTGTTATGTAGAGCACAGGGGCAATAAGGGGAGGAATGAGTGATGAGATAATTATCTTCTCATCTAAAATGACATCACCCAATTACCAGTCAGAAGGGAGGTGTTTGCCTATTGTCTATTGCTGGTTGCCTAGCAATTTCAGATTTTATGCCCATGTGTTCCGGGAATGCCTCTGGCATTATTATTTACAGAATAACCTGTTATTTTTTTTCTGGAATGTTGCTAAAGGCCTTCTATCTTGGGGTGTTATC